AGACTTGAAAACCATTGTTTTGAAAAGACTTTGCACCTTTTTGGGTTTTGTCAGATGAATTAGAAATGACTGATGAAACTTGACATTCCTTTTTGTGTGTTTTCTTGATAGGAGAGTTTTTTGAAAAATAGTGTGAGAAAACAAATTTTTCTGGACACTTGGACTTTGGAAATCTGACATGCTTCTTGTTTTTCGAAAAAATTTGTCTATTTGTGCCACGGGATCGAATTTCCTCTTTGAAAGCCTTTTTGGCTAAGGATTTTGGTGAACCGCAGTCTTTGTTGTTCAACTGCGGTTTCCTAGAACACTTTGAAAATTTGTGAAAACGAGGGCTTGAGTCATCAGAACTTGAAGATTCAGGGATTTGAGAGCATTGACCCACTTCAAAGTTTTCTATGGGTAATTCGTGATGAATTGTTTGAAGAGTGGCAGAACTTTTGTTCGAAGACTGTGGTAGGGATGACTTGACTACCGCAGAGTAAGTCTTAGTTAGGATTGCAGTGGGACTTTTGTGGGACTTTTGGCTACAGTGAGAAACACTGCGGTATGAGGGCAGAGATGGAAAGTCTTTCAAGACTTCGCGGCCCTCAATGACAATTTCTTCATCAACTACTGATGAGGTTTGAGAAGTTGGGTAAATGGTGCCACAGATAGGAATTTGATCGCATGTGTGACCCGAAACCTCAGGCACAATTTCCTCAATGACACAATTATTACTTAGATTATGCAGTCTACCGAAGTGAGTGTTGATATCTTCGGCAAATGTCTTGTCATTGATTGGGAAATTAAATTCTCGGTCTGGAGGGACATACAGTCTGTCTTTGTTGAACCGGGGTGAGGAATCCATTGCGGTAGGATACCCATTTCACCAACCCCAATTGTATGTATTGTCCACGGTTCCATTGTTTACCAAATTTTCAATAGCTTCACTTTCATTGAACAATTTTTCGATTAAAAGATTTAAGCGTACAATTTCACTCTGAGCTAAATCTCTCTGGTTCAAAGCTATCTCTAATTGGGTTTCACTCAACATTCTTGCATCTTTTTCTAACTCTAAGTCCTTCTCTAACATAGCCATTTTGAGTCTTTTGTTATCCAGTCGTCCTCTCACGTGGAACATCTCTTGGGACGCAATGTTCTTCTCATCTAAGGCTTTGTTATAGTCTGTAAGGACGGCAGCACAAGTGTCATTAAGATCATCTATGTAGGGTTGACAGTCATGCATGCTATAGTTTAGAGTTTGGATCATAAGTTTTACCTGTTCGACGATGCTTAGAGTTCCATCCTTTGCCATGTAGCAGTAGTTGTTGTCCATCTTTGTAGACCCATCGTCATCCGCAGTTGCCAGCATGCAGATTTTCCCTTTTCCTTTGACATTGCTGATGGCATCATCTTCGTCTCCGGATGACCAAACTTGATGGTCTCTTTTGACATGGGCTACGTATGCCCTTGCCTTTTCTTTATCTTCCAACTCTTGAGCCATTCTAAGGTAGAATGTTTTGTCTTTCACTACATTGGCCTTACAATCTCTAACAAAGTGATTCTCTTTGTTGCATTTGTGACAAATTACAACATCAGTTTTGTCTTCTGAGGGAGTACCGGAGTCAGTGGTCTGAGTAGACTGCGTGCCTCCTTTGGTTGATTATTTTGAGATTGCGGTGGTGGATGAGAACTTTTAGGATAACGAGGATGGTTATTCTGGGAACCGAAGTTACAGTTAAATGGAGGTTTGTTGAACTGTTGATTCTTGCGGAAGGAAGGAGGTGGTAGACGGTTGAACTGTTGGCTAACCAGAGCAATAGCCTTCTGAAATTCTTCTTGATCTTCATACTCTGAGTCAGCTTCGTATGACTGCGGTGGAGTGTCATACGAGGGAGATTAAGATTGATTATGTGGAGCTTGTGCTATGAGAGCAAGTGGTCCTCCGAAGTCAGCACAGTCTTTGAGTACGGTGGATTCTTGTGCTTGCAGTTCTCCACAGAGCTTGTAGAGTGACAAAGAATGAATCTTTCTATCGCCTTGGACTATCATCTTAGCCGTAGTCCAATGTCTTCCCAAACCATTAAGAAACTGAAGATTTTTTTTATGGTTACTGTGGATGGTGCCCGCATTGGACAACTTGGTGACTATCAGGTTGAACCTTTTGAAGGAGTCTTCCAGGCTTTCGCCGGTATGAGCTTTGAAGTTGGTGAGCTCATTGAGTGCGGTAGTAAGCTTCTTGTCTTGTGCTTGTTCTGAGCCTTCGTACAGATTCTTGAGAACTTCCCAGATCTCTTTTGCTGATTTGAAATTTATGATAATATTGAAGTTGTAAGGAGCAACTCCACAGGAGATTTCATAAAAAGCAACAACATCATTTTCCATTTTATCGAGATCATCCTTGGTGGGACGGCTCATGACTGGTTGTCCTCCTCCTAGTCTGGTTGTAGCGCCGCCAGTTTAGACTGGTGTAAGGACTGGGACATGTGGTCCTTCTTCTACGGATCGCCATACATCTCTACCAAGTCTCCTTAAGTATCTTTCCATTCTTTGTGACCAGTGATGATATTCATTTGCTATCAGTATTGGGGCTCGGTTAGAACCACCAACACTGTTGGAAACATTCAGAGATAACGATTGTGCCATTTTTTGAAGTTTTTTTATTTAAGAAATGAGCTTCAGTGGTATAGAAGGCCCTTTGAAAATCAGAGTTTCGTTTTCAAAAAGCAACCACTATGGATCTGATACCAATTGTTGAGAGAAAAACTTAGAGACACACTTGAACAAACGTTAGAACAAGTAGATTGCGGAATAGTTAATCTCAAAGGATCTAAAAGATCAACAATAATATTAATAAGTTAGAGTTAGATAGTTAGAGAGTTAGTTACGGAAAAGTAAAGAAATAGAAATGACACCAATTGTTATATCAAGTATACACTTAAGATGATTCATAACAAGGAATGCATTCAAACCAAGTTAATAAGGAAGATCAAACTTAGTGATTAAGTCACAAAAGACTTGCTCCGAAGAGAGGTTATAATCAGTTGTACTCTAGTAAGATTTGAGAGTAAGAAGGGATGCGTAGTGAAATAGAGAGATAGGAAAGATAACTTATAGAGTGACAAAGAATTGGGGCAAGTGGTCCTCCGAAGGAAAGATAACTTGTAGAGCAAGTGGTCCTCCGAACTCAGCACAGTCTTTGAGTACGGTGGATTCTTGTGCTTGCATTTCTCCACAGAGCTTGTAGAGTGACAAAGAATGAATCTTTCTATCGCCTTGGACTATCATCTTAGCCGTAGTCCAATGTCTTCCCAAACCATTAAGAAACTGAAGATTTGTTTCATGGTTACTGCGGATGGTGCCCGCATTGGACAACTTGGTGACTATCAAGTTGAACCTTTTGAAGGAGTCTTCCAGGCTTTCGCCGGTATGAGCTTTGAAGTTGGTGAACTCATTGAGTGCGGTAGTAAGCTTCTTGTCTTGTGCTTGTTCTGAGCCTTCGTACAGATTCTTCAGAACTTCCCAGATCTCTTTTGCTGATTTGCAATTTATGATAATATTGAAGTTGTCAGGAGCAACTCCACAGGAGATTTCATAAATATCGAGATCATCCTTGGTGGGACGGCTCATGACTGGTTGTCCTTCTCCTAGTCTGGTTGTAGCGCCGTCAGTTTGGACTGGTGTAAGGACTGGGACATGTGGTCCTTCTTCTACGGATCGCCATACATCTCTACCAAGTCTCCTTAAGTATCTTTCCATTCTTTGTGACCAGTGATGATATTCATTTGCTACCAGTATTGGGGCTCGGTTAGAACCACTAACACTGTTGGAAACATTCAGAGATAACGATTATGCCATTTTTTTAAGTTTTTTTATTTAAGAAATGAGCTTCAGTGGTATAGAAGGCCCTTTGAAAATCAGAGTTCCGTTTTCAAAAAGCAACCACTATGGCTCTGATACCAATTGTTGAGAGAAAAACTTAGAGACACACTTGAACAAATGTTAGAACAAGTAGAGGGCGGAATAGTTAATCTCAAAGGATCTAAAAGCTCAACAATAATATTAATAAGTTAGAGTTAGATAGTTAGAGAGTTAGTTGCGGAAAAGTAAAGAAATAGAAATGACACCAATTGTTATATCAAGTATACACTTAAGATGATTCATAACAAGGAATGCATTCAAACCAAGTTAATAAGGAAGATCAAACTTAGTGATTAAGTCACAAAAGACTTGCTCCGAAGAGAGGTTATAATCAGTTGTACTCTAGTAAGATTTGAGAGTAAGAAGGGATGCGTAGTGAAATAGAGAGATAGGAAAGATAACTTCAGAAATGTGTATTCAGAATAGATGCGTAGTTTGAATACAAGAGAACAAGCTCTATTTATAGAGACTCACGAAGTACACTAGATTACATCTCTATCAGTAGCCATGCAAGGCATACTGGACAATAGAGAGTATTACAATAGAAGACAAGTAAAGTAATCTAGTAAAGTAACTGCGGTAGGTAGAGACTCCGGATGCGGTTGCTGATGAAGGAGCTTGACTGCGGGTGCTTTGTTGGCTGCGGTACCTGAAGTTCAAGAGGGTCATTATTTATGATTTAACACAAGGAAAATAAAAAACATAGCAGATGACAACGTCATGATAAAACATAAAGCATTTTCATTAATACTAATAGTTTTGGATACATGAAAATTTGCCAAAAGGCATGCAGTACATGAAAAAATATAAAATCCGGCAGCATAACGACCCTATGAGTAGTGTAATCACTTAAACATAGATTCGGTAGTACATGGCATACTACGCTTAAGAGAAACCTAATACTAACGATAGCTACTGCTGGTCCTAATCATGGTGGGATGTTCCAGGGGGAAAACATAATATTAGTAGGAGATACGACTTGTTCCTCATACGGTGAGACCTATACGGAAAGTAGTAGAGCAAGTCCTATCAGTAGAGATAACGATGATACTCAATCGTCGAGCTGATATATCAGGAGTTCAGCCAGTTTTATCCGCCTCTTAGGTGATTACCTCTACCCTTTGCTCGGCTCGTACAACCCTTGCTTCGGCCGTAAAAAGTTGAAGCTTGAGGCTGATAATTGCTTTCCCGAGAGAGCGTAGATAGTCTGTATCACCCTTCTGAACCGGGCGGGGATCTGATGGGACTTTCGATAGGTGGGGTTCACTACGTGCCTCCTCTACGTCCTTCTCTTCATCTAACTCCTGTTCAGATTCGTCATATTCGTAATCAGTTACCACATTTTCTTCCTGTTCCACATGGGGATGCTCCTCAAGCATCCCTTAAGCCAATAGTGCTTGGTGGAAATGTACACCTTGCTGATTATCATCCATGATGACTGCATGGGACGCGGGAACAAGTCATGTTTTAATTATTCCTATAGTGCGTTTGTAGTTATTTAGGTTTTGGGTTCCCTAGAGTTTTGGAGAGTAAGGTAGGCTTTTGGATTCCTTTCCGGCTATGATTACTCCCAAACACATGTTGGTCATATTCTGAATAAATATAGTTGATCATGCTATATTTATCCCTTATATGATTACATAACTGCCCAGGTTTAATCATAGTGTTCAATTTCCTCCAGAAGCTTTTATTAGATGTTGTTAGATTATTATCCTAGTATACACACATAAGTGTGAGATTTTTGTTTTGTTCAGAGTTATTTAGTCCCATTGTGTTTATAGTTGCATATCATGTATGGTTAGATATGCTAGTTCACTATAAACATTGCTCTAATACCAACCTGTTACACCCCCGAGCCAGACGGCGGAAACGTCCGGGGGCTCGTGTGACTAACAATTGAATAATCATCTCAATGAATATACATGAATCATAACATGATCATTAACAACATTACATAATACAATTGGCATTGTTTACATCAAGTACATTGTTAAAATACATAATTTCAAATTGTAAAAAAAATATGATAAGTGCTATTACATAAAACGAAACCATACACACTTGCATATCTTCCAGCTTAACGACTACCTGAGAATACAAGTTATTTTGAAAACGGTCAACATATATAATATTGGTGAGTTCATAAGTATGTTTGAGTAAAAGTCTTTGTATCTTTCATAAAAACCCAGAAAATCAGATATTTTCTGTAAAATGTTTGAAAATGTTGTGAAAATCAAGTATAAATGCATGTGTGAATTTCATAGTTATAGTTTATAAAAGAGTAGTTTAGTTTCATTGTATTATGAATAAATGATAAATGTATATGAGTAATTTCCCCCAGAAAATCCGATATTTTCTGTTTTATAACAATGTCTAAATTCTTATATCGTTAAATAAGTTGTTTTGTATTGACACGATCGAAGAGTTTATCTCCAAAAGTTTACTTTTGGTATTGAATCCCTATATGAGACGTTATAACCATGCATGATAATCACTAGGTCGCCCGTCTTGGTATTTTTCCAAATGGCGGTCTTGCTAAGGATGTTGTCGCCCTAGACTGGCCTAGTCTAGCTGTAGCGAACAGCTAAGACGTGGGGGGTCACCCTGTATAGATCTATAAACAAACTCCCGGTTTCTTATCAGGAAACTCTGATTATAACTACAGGCTACAATTGTACACTCAGTGGTGCCAACCGACAAGTCTCACTAGATTCACAACGTCTTTTTGTACTATGTTTAATGTTTACGTATATGTGAGATGATTTTGTATTCGAAAGGTACATGATTAAGTTTACGAAGTTTAATGATTACATAAGCGTATCGTTATGGCTTACTAACACATGAAATTTCCATTCCAAGCCCTATTAGTATGTAACTAGGCCACAAAGGCCCAATCACATGTAACAGGGTAATTTAGGCCCATTAGGCATGTAAATGGCCCACCATAGCCAAATAAACATGTAATCTTTAACTTAGGCCCAAATTAACATGTAAGTGGGCCACAAGACCCAATAAACATGTCATGGAAAACATTGGACTCATTTCACACTTAATTGGGCCCTTAGGGCCCAATGACCAAGAAATGTGAATATTGGCCCAATAAATAGTTATCGACGTATTTCGTTCGTTCGTTTTTATTCCGTTGTGTGTGTAACATCCAACAACTTTACGCCAAATTTAAACTTTTCAAGCATAAATAAAACCTAATAGTATTGTTTACAAAAATGTTTTCAATTTATTATTCAATCAGAGTGTCCCAAAAGCTAGATCATAAGGATGAGGAGCGGTACGGTCACACCTTCGCCTTGCCATGAACTCCTGAAGTACCTGAAACAATAAACTGAAAACTGTAAGCCCGAGGGCTTAGTGAGCTGCCCCCCCACCAAAAAAAAAAAATACCAATACCACACTGATAATACCATATCCGTAATAATCAATCAATCAACATGCATACTGGGCCATCGGCCTGACTGGACCGCCCTACAGGGCCTACAGTCCGACTGAATCTGTACCGAGCCTTCGGCATGACTGGACCACCACGTGGGCCTACAGTCTTCCCGGACCGCTCATAGGGTGTGTTGGCCTTCAGCACAAAGCAGGACCGCCTCAACCCAAGCAACAAGCAAGTAACCATGTGCGCATAACTAACATATACTGGCATATACAACCATCAAACATATCTATCTCACTGAGCATCAAACATAGCAATCTCTTATAACTAGAGCACTGACCTAGCAGGTCACTAACACATCAATCCCTACGGATCATAAGAGCATAACATGCTGTCTATCCTGATTCTGATCTAACAGACCACATCCACATGTAGCATACCATAACGATAACAACTAAAAGGGCCGACCTTGGTGCCTTAGACCCTATCGATATAGTGAGGATAACTCACCTTGCAGATGTCGACTCGGTAGATAAACTTCAACCCTCGAATCACTGCCACAAACTCCACCACTTATAACCATAGTATAATCATACCCATAAGCCAACTAATCAATCCTGGTCAAAGTCAAAGTCATCAGTCAAGGTCAACAGTCCATGTTGACCTCGACTTGCCGAGTACCCCCGGCTACTCGCCGAGTTCCTTGAAGCACTAACCCACTCGCCGAGTCATCCGAGTGACTCGTCGAGTTCCTTTGGTTTACGATCGAGACCCTGAGGCCACTCGTCGAGCTTCCTTCTTGCAACTCGACAGTTACCCGTGCATACATAAGTTGAGGCAACCTTATCCGACTCGCCGAGTTATTCATACACTCGTCGAGTCTACGGCAATCTTCAATGGACTCGCCGAGTTGTTCTTCCAACTCGCCGAGTTCATGCCTATCTTCATATGACTCGCCGGGTCGACCATGCGACTCGCCTAGTCCCTTCAGTCCGTTTTGCCATACAGACTCATTTGAGCCATGCAGCGGCTCCAAACTACAGATCCAAGCTTCTAAGGCATGCTTTTCACGTAAAATTGCAAACTTTACGTACATGCATAGCTACAAAGGCTCTTAATGTCAAATCCAAGCTTACAATGGGGGGTTTCATACTCAAAGAGGTTTCATTCACGCCCAAACCAGAAGCTTTATGACTCTAGGACTTAAGAAGGGTCCAGATCTGAAGTTACAACTTCAGATCTAGCCCATAGTCCACCTTATCAACTCAAAGATCCATAAAAGCCCCAAACTCAACCAAAAAGAGATCTAGAAGGGAAAAGAAGTAAAGGTGGCGACTTGATACCTCTAGAAGATGCTAGCTGAGGTAGATTCTGATTCCCACACTTTCCTTGCTCCAATTCCCTTGCCTTCCAAGTTCCTCTTCTCCAAAGATCTTCCTCCCAAGCTTAATACACACACAATATAGCACCACACGAATTAGGGTTTCTCAAGAGCTCTCTAGAACTGCAAAGAGGCCAAAGGAGGCTTATGCTTCCTTAAATAGGGTGCAAAACCCCGGGATTTAGGGTTTCCTCTGCCAGCTCCTACTCGTCGAGTCCCTTCATGGACTCGGCGAGTAGGTCACTAAACACGCGTACCAAACCCGTTGCTACTCGACGAGTAGGGCAACCAACTCGTCGAGTAGGCCTTGAAACCAAGTAAATTCTTAATTAAACAATACCTGGGAATCGGGGCGTTTGAGTTTGTTTAGCTTGAGGTTTGCTAGATTGATGAAAAGAAATCTTTCATTTTGTAAAAATGACATTTTTGGCCAGTAATCCTCAAATTTTTAATTAAGGCCCAAAGTTTTATAAAAATGACACTTTAGTCCAAAATTTATAAAAATTTGAAATTTTTTCCCAAATGTCTAGAAACTTACGGTTTTAACCCAAAATGTTATATTTTCACATTTAGAACCCTGTTTTGCAGAAAAATGCATTTTCAGCACCTTGTTTGTAAAAATTTACACTTTTGGCCCAATTTTTGGAAAACTTTACATATTTGGTCCAATTTGAAAATAAATGATATTTTCACCTCTAAATTTGGTTTGTTTACATTTATGACTCAAACTTTGGACAAATAACATTTTTAAACGTCAAATCTCCATTTGTTTCGCAAGTTGGGCCCAAAGGCCGTGAGGCCCAAAAGTTTGGCCCAATAAGCTTAAATTTTCATTTTTGACCCTTTTAAAAATATGTTTAGCATAAAATACCTTTTTATACATGTAGGACCTGTTTGGCCCTTTTAAAAACAAAACTTTTACTTTTTACCCTTATCTTTTGTTTTCTTGACAATTTTGACCTTTAACAAGGTTTTTGTTGAATTCTTTTGCATCCTAAACATGTGTTCACTTTTGGCTTGATAATATGATGTGCATAGTGTTGTATTACTTAGATCTGTGCTACATAATACTTAAAATTTTGAGATTCACTAAGATCTAACCCATTTTTACCAAATAAACTAAGGATTCACACAAAACATGCATATAACACATAGATCTACACATTTTACTTGCATTCTCCCCCAAAAATCATATGAAAACCGAAAATAAAGGGGGTATGAACTCACCTTTGCTTGATGTTTTGGTTTTTTTGGAAGAAGAAGTGGAAAGATGAAGTGATTTTCGGCCCTAGCAACTCCCTTGAGTAGATCTCGAACTTAAGAAGATTTCTAGGAGTATGATCACCAAAAACTTTGTTTAAAAGAGTGATCTATCATGAAGATGGAGTTATAAAACTTTTGTGTGTAAAGGCTTACCAAGAATGATGATTATCTTGTGAAAATCCTCTTGAAACCTAAGCTAAAATTTGAGAATTTTGGAGGAAGAAGATGGATGATCCTTGAGAGAATGGAGTGAATTTGGTGTACTGTGTGTGTGTATGTGTTGCATTCGGCCGAGAAGAAGAAGAGAGGGGAGAGAGAGATGAAGTAACTAGTATGGATACATG